TAAATGTATCTATTTATCACCAACGTCGCTATGATCCATGAAGAACTTGGGCCTCTACCACAATCCGTCCCTACTCCATTCCCAAGTTCGCCTTCAAATCTTTCAGCCAACGCAACCTTTGCCTTTCTCTCTACGTCCTCCTGGATGTCTCACGATGGTTTTCTTGGGATTGATCTTCATTCTGCGTGAATAATCCAACCATATCAACCTTCTTTTCTTAATGGTGGAGACGACACCCAGATACACATATAAGTTCAACAATTCCTGCTTCCTTTTCAACCTCCACTGATCCTCTTTTCGTGTCGGTCAATATATTCTGCGCAGAATTTTCCTTTCCTATGAGCTCAATCATTGCATTACATTAATAAATAATGCGTTATATTAATAATAAATTTAATATTACTTAAATAAGTTATATTCTGCTAGTTGAAAGACAAGATCAAATTAATAACAAATCTTTTTAAGAACATGGAACAGACAGCAGCAAATGTAATTGTGTATGATCTACGTTTTATTAAATTCTACTTTCGCTGGAATTGTTTTTAAGAAGAGAAGGTCAATGAAATATCTTGGGACAAGAGAGATTCACGCGCCATCGACCTTGAAGGAGGGGAGATGAGCACCTCTGCATAGAAGTAGTAACACAAATATTTAACCACGCTCAATGTTCGTATTATTGAAATTTTAGTTTAAATTCAAAGATAATTTATGTATAGCAGAATATATTTGGATTTTATGATTCATTCACATGCATTCTTCCATTTTTCCGTGGTTTTATCCTATTTCCCGCGGTAAATTTGAAGCATCAGAGAATTGAGAGTTCTCACTGCCTCAAGCCTTTAAATATATAGATAGCATTATATATTTCAGTTTACAATAATTGTGTTGATTATATTAGTTATCACTCGTGATTTTTATATAAAATATAAACTCTCTTTGAGGTATTTTTTGAGGGTCCTTACCCCCACCCACCAACCAGAATGGAAAGTCTGGGACTATGTTTTTTTGGCAAAACACAGGTATTTTTGGCAAGGAGGAATATCAAATCATATGATTTTCTTACAGAAGTGTAATAAGTGGTGAATCTCAATTTATTCCTCGAGCTTATTAAACAAAATAATTCTTCTAAAAGTAGGATTTTTGTAATCCAGTTTGAAGATACAAAATAAATATACAAACAACCCAAGATTTAATGTAATTGAACTTACAAGAGAAGTTTACTGTCAAAGGGTCATTTATATCAACCAAATTTTGTCAACTACATCAAACATCATTAGAAACTTCTCAGGGTATTCCTTCCAATGGGCCTAGGAGCCGAGAAAAAAAAAAAAAAAGAAAAAGAAAGGAAGTAATTTTCAAACAAAATTTATGTTATTTTTTTTGCATGGATTTTCTGGTTTTTATATATCAATCGATTTCTTTTTAGTCCAGAAAAAGAAAAAATTTTAAATTTCAAATTTTAATAATTGATTTCCTTAGAGAATTTTTTTCCGGCTGATAACTAAAGCATTAATAACTTCTATATTTGTCTAGTTTACTATAAAACCATTGTTAATTAGCTGAAGCAAAATATTTTTAGTTATCGCTTCCTATTTAACAAAAAATGAGACTTAATTAAAAAAAAAGCTGTTCTGAGAAACTTTACTATGTTCTCACTAATTCATTTGGTTTTTTGTAAAAGTTACAGAATTTGTTTTTAATAATACATATAATTCAAATGAAAAAAATAAAAGGAATTACTCTATGCCTGTCACATCATTCAGTACTCACAAATGGCATAGTCATAGTGCTATAATAATATTTTTGGTATATTATTTTGATTGTATTAACAAACATATATTAGTGCAATAATTTAATAGCCAAACATTATTTTTTTCATTCTGTATTGAGGATGTTTAAGATATCTAGAAGGGCTTTATAGTTAAATACACACAATTATAATAATAAAATGGGTGATAAATATTCAGGGCGCAGTCATATTAATTTTTTATTTGTGCCAACGTTTCAATCCAAACATATGGGTCATCATCAGGGCATGGTTTGAGCACTGAAGGAGTACTTGAAAGCCTTCAGTGCTCGAACCACGCCATGATGATGACCCACATGTTTGGGTTGAAATGTCGGCACAAATAAAAAATTAATATAATGACTGCGTCCTGAATATTTATCACCCATGATAAATAGAACAATCAACTAGCTTCCTTCAATATAATAATAAAACATATTTCAGTAATACTTAGCTGAATATATTGAATTTGAACAACTTAAAATTAAACATTTTTTGTGTACTTATTTCTGTTTCATTGGCGTGGGGCGACCCTGGATAGGTAGACCCTCTTGGGGCACACCCAGCCTCTACAAAGTGGGTACCCTTAATTAAATAATTATTTTGGGGAAAAACCTGGCGGTTGAGCATGATCTCAGTCAAATCACCTCCTTGCACAACCGTTGACCTAGAAACAGTGCTTTCCCTAAATAGTACTGAACCCCAGACCCTTCACGGGTTGTAGTGGTACAGGTTTTTTTTTTTTTTTTGTATACTTATTAATCTTCCAGGTTAGTTAAATTTTATTTGCTTTTTGGTAATGAATCATATTAATATTTGTTTTATAAAATAAAATGTATACTTAATCTGAAAAATATGTAATGAACAGTTACCGGTCTCTTAAGTAAATATCATAAATCAACAACCCAAAAATTAATTATGAGTACACAATTTAATTTTTCTTATTTCCTGAGGAAGGTTATAGAGAGGTCCATTAAGAAAGGGAAATAGTTGTCCATCTGCTTAATGCCTTGTTCTGTGTTCTTGTTTTTGGTTCTTTCAAAGATATTTTCCAGATTCACTAAGCAGATAGAGCTTCAAGGACCAGAACCAAACAAATCCACCAATCCATCTCCTTCATGGCATCAATTAATACTATACAATATATTATAAAATAATATTATATTAGAACTTCTCGACAAGGTTTTACCTTGGGATATTCAACAAATAAATATTTTCATCCCATTTCAGTAATGTCCAGGATGATGAATATAGCAGTAAAGGAAGATGGATTTTCTTGGCCGTGGTCCTTTGAATTGGAGGAAATACTTTCAATTGATATTTTGTTTACACCTCAATGACACTTTTGTATATACTTGATATAAATGTTTTAAACAAATTTTTTATTTCAATTTTGGTCATCGGGTTGTGAACTGTGAACTTCCCCTCTCATACCAAACCTACCTTTCCTCTCCTCCTTTACTCCCACTTCAAAATGTTAATTGAATAAATTTTTATTTCACTGACCTGTACCAGACAGACTATTTAAGATATAAAACATAATTGCGAATGATAAAACATGAAAATTATCACAGCTTAAAATTTTTAAGTTTCGATAAATTGTACTTCTACTTGTACTATACTTAAGCCTATTAGGTTGACCAAGCCTATTCTGGCCTCAAAGTTTAGTAAATTTAATCTTATTAAAAATGTATAGAATGTCTTTTGTTTTTAAAAAATAGGAAAAAAACAAACAACATAAGTGCAAACATTTAACAGTTTTGGGGATATTCAAAAGTTATCCAGGGGGCTGCCGAGTTCGAAAACTACCATTTTTCATCTCAGTAACATTCCATACAAGAAAATAAAAATGAAACTTTCAACCACTACTCGATGCGACTTAGACCCTCTTCATGACAAGATTACTGGACTACATGTTCAGCCTAATTAAGAGAAAGGTAAATGACATGGTTAGTATTTTTACTACGTTTTAATTGAGGTGGCTTTACTTTAAGTAGGAATGTTTGAATCCACACAGTTTCCCAACTTATAATGCCAGATTATGATTGATAATAAAAACTTTTCTCTCCCTATTGAACTTTTCTTTCTAGCTACTTTGTTTACTTAGCAGCATTTAAAATACATCATCACAAATACAAAGGTGATTAATTGGCATCACTTCATTTTACAGAATAATGATAATAGGACAACATACTGGTCAAGATCAAGTATACCATTCTTTATTTAAATGTATCTTTTTTCTCCTCGGACCTCCCTTTATTAATTTACATACTATACGTTTTTGTGTTTATTTAAACTTTTAAATAATTTTATATCTTATAACAAAAGACGATAATAATAAATAGAACAGACTACACCCTAGTATTCAAGATCCATTTCTTTCTCCCAATCTGTATTTAAAAACAATAAAATGAATAAACAACAATAAAATAACTAAATATTGGAAATAAAATATATGACCTATCAATTACAAACAGGTGTAACACATATCACAGCCCTTGAAATATAGAACAAAAAATTTTGATAGGCAGCATGTGTGAGATTGAATTGTTTTCTTTTATATTAATAATCACATAACCAATACCATACTAATTTTTGGGGCTCTCTAAGAAAAGCAAAGCCTGAGAACTGCAAAGTCCACATTAAATAAAATGGTTACACATATAAAAGGAAGAGGATTTGAGATATGAATAACAAAAGCTGGATAGAAAAGTAATATTTTGAATGAATGAACTGACAACAGTTATAAATCATTATTGATAAAAGTACAGATAAAATTTACCATTGATTTACATTCAGCATAAAAGCTTAGTTTTAGCTCTCCTAATATATCCTTTTGTAAGAAATCTCTATACTAAATAATAGTTCCGTCAAGCTTCAATAAGTTTAATATAATATATTTGACAATAAGTTTTTTTATTGTAATTTATTTGACAAGTTAGTTAAATTATTTCAATAAATGATAATACTAATGGCAGTGGTTTGAAATAACTTTTCTAAACCTATAAAACACTAATATTAATCATCTTAAACACACATTAGATTAGAATATATAACAGAGTAACATTACCAGAAACAGTCATATATTTTTAAATAAAATCGGAAAAAAAAAATATTAAAAATTACAATTATATACAAAAATAATTTTCCTAGAACGGAAATAAAGGATAAAATGGATTTCAACAGACAGTTAAAAACCATTTATAAATAACTTCAGATACGGTTATAAATTGAAAATATAGATCATAATCCATTTACATAATAAATAAAACCATCAATAAACAAAACAAATGATATAGTTATGCAAGATCAAATATCAATAAAAATAAAACAACATGAAAACCAGTCGTTATTAATGTTTCTGTGATATATTCTGAAGAATAATGTATTCAGTAATAAATATTTATTGTACAAAGTAAAATAAAAATAGTTCGTATATATAAAAAATAACAATAAAAAATAAAATTTAAAATAAAAAATTACATCTTTCCGAAGATTACTTTAATCCATTATCACGTCTGTATGGAATCATCTTTCACGGATTTTGGGCATACGAGACCTAATACTTCCTTCGCTAAGCTAAGATCAGCAGCCTCTTGTAATTTCCTTCTACGTAGCCGATCTGAATTAGCACCTACAGTTAGTTCTTCTCTAAGTCGTTGTCGACGAGCTTGTCGTTCTTCTTCTTCCCTTTTTTCTTTTTCGTCGTATTCTTTACAGATTTTTTTGATTGATTTCTTGGTAGAGGAAGCTTTGGGAGGAGCCTACAATGAAGTCAAAAAATTAATTACACAAAAAGAAATATCGGTTACTTATGTATGCACAGTAATTTAAACATGATATAAGTACATTTCATAAATTAAGAAAAAGAAGATCGAGTGAAAAATTAATTTTATAATGAGTTAAATGTTAGTATAAGAGCCCAATAGGGCAAAAATGAAAACCCTAAACATTTATATCCATCACTATTGCAATTGTGGTTTGCCTATTCCACTAACTATAAAAACAATTCCTAATTGCCTAGAAACTTAACAAGACTTTTTATTTAGATTTGAAGCTGCAACAGTAATTTAAATTTAGATAAAGAAATTTTATACATAATCAAACATTTTGATAATTATGGTGTTCAGTTTATTGCAAGCATAATTCAAGGATTTCAAGAATAATCTTCAAAATTCAACATAAATAGAAAAATAAAACAACTGGCAAAGTGGCAAACTTATCAGAAATAGACAAGTATAAATTGGTCGAAATTGAAAATCAGCAAATACATTATTATACTAATCCACTACATCAATTTAGTAACAGGTAGAATAAGTGTGTAAAGTGAGAATATACTCACAAAATGAGTAGCTAATTGAGATAGAGAAACTGATGGGTAAAGTTAACAGGAAGCTTTTTCTAGCTTTCTTAGAAATAGAGATCGTTAAGGGAACAACTGAGAAATCCATCTTCTTTTATTTATATACATTTAACACACTTGTTGCCAAGTAATAATTAAACTAAAAACATTCCTGATGGTTAAATGTTTCTCAAGCACGATTCTTTATTTAAAAAATTCGAACTTAAAAATGTCCAAATCGGAGGCTGTGTAAGCATTTTATCATTTGGAATCATTTAAACTCCATACAGGTACAACAGGTTTGCTACCTATAATCCCATCACAGAGTCTTCCCAGGAGAGGCGATTCTGGTATGTGTACTGTATTTGTCCTTAGTATTAGTGTTCCTGTATAGTGTACTGAACTCAGGAGATCGTTAATTCCCACTTGAGGAGAGCATCCACTAGCCCTTGCACAAACCATTTGACGAAAGCCAATGGATTGTACCAAGCAAGTTGATTGTAAGCAAGCAAGAAGTGAGTAGAGATGGCAAAGTTCTAATATTTAAATATGTTCCTCTCAGTTCTTCTGTATGGATCAGAAAGCTGGACAGCTCCCAACAAATACGTAAATAGGCTCACATCAGCAGAAATGAGATTCCTCCAAAGAATAGTTGATAAGACCATGAGGGGCTGTGTCAGAATTGAAAGAATTCGGGTGAACTTAATCTAATTTGGAATTAGGGTGTCAAATCAGTGTGCGACATCATGCAACAGTGATAAGTAAAATGGTACGGAAATATCTGTAGAATGGACGATGCTAGAAAAGCCAGGTGGTAGTATGAAGACAGACCGGAAGGATGACCCCCTCATGGCAGACTTGGATTACATTGTAAAACTAGGGACAGCAAGAGGACACATCATAGCGAGGATGAAATCATCATGACTATAATTAAATTAGAAATAGAAAAGGTAAGAAATGTGTGGAATACAAAGAAATATGTAAATAAATATAGAGAAAAGATAGATAGTCTTATAACATTACTCTTTTCTAGCTAAGTAGCTCAGTTTTCATTATATAGTCACAAATAGCCTACATAAATATACTAAGTTTTTATGTTTCTTAATATTTAACTAAAACAATTGTAGTAAGAGAAGTTGGTTGGTTGGCAGTTGTAGTCAGTGAAGTACGTCTATTTTTTTTTTTCACAAATATTTGCCTTTTGGTCATTTTAATTAAGAAATAGTTTCTTTGTTCTGACGTTTCGGCTTTCATCAGAGCTAAGCAAAAACAATATAAAAACGTTACAATAATAAGAAAAATAGAACATTATCTACTAAGAAGTGAATGAAAAATATGTTAAGAAAGATATATAAAAATAATTGGATTAATATGTTAAACATACCATTAATAAATAATGAATGGAAATTATATTTTATATTAAAAACATAAAATATACTAGGTGGTCTGTATAAATAATTTTCATAATATATTAGTCAGCGAACTAATGATAACTTATTCCAATGTATTACAACATGGAGAAATTAATTATCTTTTCCCAAGGTGATTACGATTCACAGTAATAAACCAAAAAAAAGTGTATGAAGGGATAGCAAAGACACGATTCAAAATCTTTGCTAAAAATAGTGCAATTTCGATAATCTTTTCTTTCTTATTATCATGAAATTTTTTTCTTGTCTTTCCTTAGTCCTGATTAAGGTCTAAAGCTTAGACCGAAACGTCAGCAAAAAGGAACAAACTAATTTTTTTTTTGTGTTTACCACACTGTCTACAACTTCCAATCAACTTCTCTTACAATAAGTATCTACTCTCAATAATTTCTCCACCTAATGGTTAAATATTTGCATTTATTTTATAAAACTTTTCTTTTCACATTTTCAGTCAAATAAATGCTACAAAGTCATTACATTTAAGAATCTGGTCATATTAATATTTTTTTAGTTTTTTTTTTAAAGTATTCTTAGGACTAGATGTATCTTCATTAATACTTGCTTCTCCCTTTCTACACAAACCTAATATCTTGTATTTGTAATCTAGATTTACTTCCACATATTTTCTATTGAGTTCAAGAAATTAGGGAAGAATTTAGCTTAATACATTTTAATTGTTGAAAAAATTATAATTGTTACATATATTTGCTTCAATAGTACATATACAAAAATTAATGAAACATCAAACCATCTAAGGTGGTTATATTATTTTTTCTTTAAATTTAATCATCATAAATTATTGTTTTAAACAACAGAAATAAGCTAAGAATAGCTAAAAATTGGTATCTACTAATACCCCTGATCTGAGAGAAGAAAGTAGATACAAGGTCATGAAATATCTTATCTGCCATAGTTAAGATAACTTAATCACTGGCATAGTTAAGTGCATTGCAAATAAAGCCCTCTTTTGTAGAAAAATAAATATCTAATGTATACATCACATTTACAACTTTCTCTTAAAATTTGGAGCAAAAGATAAACTGAAAGAATTACTTAAGTCAAACCAAGAAATACATTTTAAGAGTTTAAGATAATTTAACCTATATATACAAATGGCGTTTAGCGATAGGAATAAATCATGAGAAGCAGAGCTGTCTATCACTTTGATTATATTTTGTATAGTATGTTATGAACCCACACAAAATACAACCATAACCAAGATATTTTAAAATAAAATTAATAGAAACAGAAAGTTTCCTCTTAAGATAATATTTATGAACTTAATTTAACTTTATTTCTTTAACTTTATTATTTATTTAACTTAATTATATCAAATGATTAGGAAGGACTGATTTACCTGAGGTAAAAGGGGTGGTGGTTTAACTTCTTCAGTGTCAGAATCTTGATCCCATGAATCTTTGACTGCTCCTGCCTGATTAGAATCTTCACCTTCCCACTGACGATCACCATGAAGACGCGATTCCCAACTGTCCATGTCTATTAAATTGAAACCCGTTATTATTAAATAATAGCTACAGAAAACTAACAACACTCTAAAAAAATTTTTTGTTGCTCTCAATAATTGACTTGAACACACCAAGCATTAAATTGTATCACAGATATACCTTTTAGGATACCTATTGAAATATTTATAGTTTTCAGAATTCTTATAACATTAAAAAATAGTGTTAGATGAATTTACAAACTTTAATTATACAAAAAAAAATTAATAACATTGCTCAATAAGTAAAAATTTATTTACATTACTAAATACAGGATGTATCAGAACCAGTTCACAGTATTCAAGGGATTGAATGCACTATGAATGAAAACAACAGATTATTTTTCTACTGAGATAAAGTAAAAATCTTCAATTATTTATTAATATACACTACTTAACATAGAAAATGTAAATGCTGGATAGAAGAAATTTGTTTAAAGTAAAATAATGAATATCTTGTCAACTTATGGATTTTCATCTGGCTTGAACTTTTCTCCAACATACGGTAGAACAGCTTCAACTTGACCATTCGTTACCAAGAGAAAAACTTTAAGTATCGTACTTCCTCAATGACATAACTAAAATCATGTGGTAATATGGTTCGTAATGCCAAATATACGGAAGCACGTTTCTTAAAGAGTGTTTCTCAGGACAACTAAGTTGGAGATTTGGAGCGGATGTTGATGGAATGTTCAAGCCTAGTGAGAATTATCAGAAACTGATGACACAATTATTATTATTTTACTTTAAATTGATTTCCTCTTTCCAAAATTCCATTTTCTATCATAAAAATTATTTATTAATAGGAAATCAAACATAAATACAAATCTTTTGTCAGATTCCATTTTTTGCCAGATGAAAAATGATATATCGTTGTTGAAGAAAAAAGTTCATTTTTTCCCAAAAGAAATTTTTTTTTTATAATTACTATTTATTTGTTCATTTGAGCAGAGTATCCACCCCTTGAATATTGTCATCTGCTGGTGATTGACCCTGCATGTGTATGTATCATAAATATATATATATATAATTTTTATTTTAAACCACGATTAATCACCTTTCAATAGAATTCTGGTTTCAAAGCGCTTTCTATCTAAATTATGAGACCTAGTTAAACTTTTCATGGTAGAAAAACTACATAATTGTTGAACTGGAGCAGAGGATGGTATAGGAGTGTTATACTTGATAAAAATTTCCTTAATTTCAGGATATTTATGCAACATTTCAATTTTCCTGTTTGGATCACTTAAAAACTGATTTATTTTTAGTTCTGAAGATTGTTCTGCAATGGTATTTTCTCCAAAATCAAAAAAATCAGAAACAGATTGTTCATTAGACGTACTTTGTAAGCTATCTTGGGCCAAGTTAATTTCTGCAGCAACTATTTCCTTCAGTGTCTGTAAAATCTTTTTTTGATTTTCAGATTTAACTTGGCAAAACCATCTGTTCTTAAATTCAGGATGAGTAACAGAGGCTATGGCAGCATTTAGTGATTCTTCTGTCGTAAAATTGTAGAAGTGTTCAAATCTTTTGTTGACACTAGTCAGTAAACATTGGGATATTGGCTTGCAATAAATCCAATTATTGTTAGATAATCTTTCTAATTTAGGGCGTAATGCAAACAAAAGAGGCAAAACAACACCATAATAAGAATGTCTTTTACTTTGCAATATTTCTATTGCTTCAGTAAATGGTCGAGTACAAGTTAAAAATTCATCAATGTATTCAAAATCACATTCTGTCAATGTATTTTCAATACTCAGTATGTCATAAAATTGTTGGTATTTACCTTTGTTGGAGAGTATACTTTTAAGGGCATCATAGAATGAGTTCCATGAGCCCTCTTGTGGTACCGACAAACTATTCCCAAGGATATTTTGAATTGCATCAGCTGCATTTGAGGAGGATGCAACTTGCCATAGTGCATTGCACTTAGAAATTACTTGGTTATGGACATTGTACAGTGTTTCAAACTCTTTAATGACATTAAGAACATCATTAGCGACACATAAGTTTAATTCATGTATACAACATCTAAAACTATAAGTAAATAAAGAAGAAAGCTCATTAATTATGGAAGAACATAAACGGATTTTAGTATCACTTTGAAATTCGCTGTCTGATTCTGATTCAGAATCATCACTAACGACGGACTCATTTGTTACTATAAATTTTTTGTTGACACCAAAATCTTCCAAGGCTTTTGAAAAATCATTTTTATTATCCATCATTGTAGCAACTATTTTAGCATGGCTAAGTCCATAATCATTGTGGATTTCTGTAATTAATTGAGAAATTCTTTCTACTGATAATGAACGTTGAAATTTTCTATATGCAATTGCTGCTGAACCTCGATCTAAATCTTCTTTAATCCAATGGGCAGTAATGCCCAAAACAAAATTTTGGATTCCAGACCAGATATCTAAAGTAGTACATACATAATTTAAGTTTTTAAAAGTTAACTTTAGAAAATTCTTGTTATTTTGAACAAGAGTTTCCATTTTTTTAACAACATCATTGTAACTAATAAGACTTAAGCCTTTTCTTGATATGTCAAGATGTTCAAAAATTTTTATAAAATAAGGATTATCAACAGTCTTCAATGGAACTTGTGTATGTGAAAGAAATTTAAGAATATTGATTTCAAATTCCAATTGACTTGGTTGTTTTTTGTTTCTAGGTAAAATTGGCATGCCAATTTCCCTTCCATCATTACTATTTTCCTTAAATCTTTTGCCTTCTGTAATCCGTCTGTACTCTTCCAGAGCAGTCTCTCCATGTTTCCGTTTAAGATGACTAAGGAAATTTGAAGATGATTTACCATACCCTTTAATTTCTACTGCAGTTGGCAGACATTTGACACACAAAGCTACAATTTTAGTCGGAGAACACTTTTGAGGGACTGGTATAAAAAATTGACTAACAGCCACCCCTAAATTTGTTGTATTAAAACCTGAACCCAGGGAACAAGAACTATCACTATATTCCATTGTGAATTGAACAAAAATAATAACAATTTCTCAAAATTCAAGCACACTAATTACTAATTGCAACCACTAACACAAATTGAAGCATAAACTAAAAAACAAGTATTCTGCATAAGAATGAGAAACCAACTAAGGCCTTAACTGTTCCAATGACTTCGTGTACATTAAGCATTTTAATTGTCCATTATGATTAATAACTAATAATGAGGACCACACCAAGACTAATGACACATCATGACTAATGATTGATGATAATTGACTTAGTTATAGGTCACCACTGCTGACTGAATACCACCCTCATCTTTAGTCACTGAGTGTTGATTAGCTACAAATTTTTCACCTATATAAAACACAATTACTTGCAACAAGTTATTTAAGTTCCTTAACTCTGATCTTCAGCAATCATCAAAATGTCACCACAAAGTTGTAAAAGAAGTAAAGAATACGTTATGATTGAAAAATAAACTTTCCTACTTACAAAAGTAATGAATAATAACCTTTTTTAGCTAACAACGGAACAAATAGAATGCCATGGGAATGAATTAAGAATTTGAGCTAATACCGTAAATGACATCAAAAACCTTATATGGAGGAATACTAACATCACAAAATCGTTAGGTGGAACAGATATACCTGTTGGTAAACTACAAAAGCGATTGATTTACATACCTACTTGCAAATGAAATAGTTTTCTTTCTGAGTAGTTAAAACTTGAAAGAGAGTCAATATTTTGGATAAAATTGATATTCCTTTAATCGGAGAATACGACAATAAACAACAATGTACTGTAAGTAACCTTCTTACTGGCTATCTCCGCAGAAAGGAGAATTTGAAATTGAACCTCTTTTCTTATAAATTTCCAGAATTTAAATTATTTTTTTTAATTTAAATTTTAAACATATTTTATTAACCTTGCACTTGGACCATAAATACTGTTTTAGTTACAATGGCTGTGCCAAAAACATAAGGATTTCAAAGCAATTGCTTGTTACTGCTAATTTCACTATAATAAAAATTTGCCGGAGATATTTCAATACTTCAGTTTTGAAAACTATTCTATTTTTACTAAAGAAGAGTATTGCATACAACTTCACAAAAATATTTACTTCAAGTAAAGATAAAAAATGTATTCTATTAATTATAATTGATTTTTTAATTTCCAATGGTGTGATCTTTTTTGTGAAAGTCTATGAAACCAGTGAAACTTTTACAAAATGTTATCATTAATTCCCGGAAGTTGACGTAGAAGTAGCTTTTGGAAGGGTGTCGAAGCCGTGGTTAGCTGCTATTGGTCAATTGAGAACAACCAATCACATCGCTCCATTTGTCGAACCGGTGTTGTAGTGCCTGATACTGTGGAAGTGTATTAGTGATTCTGAGCCTGCGGTATTAGTAAGAGGTGTTAGTGTTTCAAGGGTTTCACTCATTTTTGGCGAAATGAAGGCGAGCCTCGCTATTTTAGGCCTGTTAACGGTTGTCAGTGCGGAGCTCTTTTTTGAAGAAAACTTTTCTAGTCGTGAGTTATTTTACTTTGAGTTAACCGCAATTATTTTTTAAAACCTAATTTATTTGTATTCATTTCTTGTTTCAATTTTCTTTCTAGCCGACTGGGAAAATAATTGGATTTATTCTGAACATCCTGGAAAAGAATTTGGCAAGTTTGTATTGACCAGTGGAAAGTTCTACAATGACCAAGATAAAGACAAAGGTAAGGTTTTAAAGAGATTAATGTTATGTAAGCATTCATCATTACTTATTGGTTATGTTAAATTGTTTTTATTTGTTATAGGTATCCAAACTTCACAAGATGCAAGGTTTTATGCCGTTTCCCGAAAATTTCCTCCATTCTCTAATAAAGACAAACCTCTAGTCGTACAGTTCAGTGTAAAACATGAACAAAATATTGATTGTGGAGGTGGTTATGTTAAATTATTTGACTGCAATTTAGATCAGAAAGATATGCATGGTGAATCGCCCTATGAAATTATGTTTGGTAAGTATTTAATGTTTAGTCCAATGGCCTTACTCTCAAGTTTTAATTGTTCATTTACATTTATTATTTCTGTATATAATAGTGTTATTAATTTTTGTTTTAAATGAGTCAATAGGGTTAATTGGTTATTACGTTTGTTGATGTTGTTTTCCTTCCAAAATTTGATATATTTATATATTGATAACATTTTTTGATAATCCTCCTCTTAATTTGTTTAGTTGATTTAATGAAATAATTAATGTATTAACTTTTAACATGTGTTTAAGTGAACAGTTTTGTTTTTCTAATGTTGTTTAGGAACCTGTGTTGCTTAGAACCAATTGCAGGTTTCTATTAATTTTATTCTGTTTTTAAATTTATTAATGGATGAGAGTAACAATACATTATTCTTGTACTCCTAATATTTTTATTTCAAACTGTATTCTTATCAATTTTTTATCAATAATAATTGCATCTAATGATTGGCTTTTGTTGAATTAAAACATATTAATTAGCTGTATTATTAACACACTTAGTTTCGATGTTGTTTAATTTGATACAGCTTATTTTAATATTATTGGCCATGTTCCTAAACTAAATGCTAATTTCATTGATGGAATCAAGCTATTGATTAAAACCATCACTGATGGTCAGTAATTTATGCCGAGTTCAGGATCATTTTGATGGATCTCCACTGAAAGTTAACACTCCTAGAAGATTACAGAACTCTTGTAAAATATAAAAAGAAATGAAATGTCTCCCTATGAAATTGTGGATATTGAAAACAAAAATAAACACGCTCAGAAAGTAAACAATATAAAAAGTAAATTGATAAATATCGACACTGGGCTTACTTCCAGTGGATCCATCAAATTCAAATTTAATGGAACCACTCAGCTATTAGTGATTAAATTGATGAATAAAAGCACTTGCTAAATTTCAACAATGCTGTCTATTGATGAGTTTAGAAACTTTCCCATTATTCTGAATCACTATTCTAAGATGACATTTGGTTTCACTATCATGTTGAGCACACAATAGATAGAATCCCGAACAATCTCTATGTGAGAAAGAAGTGTAATCAACTTATCTCCAACACTTCCTAGCTGAATGTGTATGGTTAGGTCAGCCCAAGTCAAGTCACTATTACTTTCACTTTTTATATAAATCAGTGTATATTCGTTCATGTGATATATTTCGTTAAATTACTGCTTAAATTCATTATGTTATCTTTCATAAAATTAAATATTTAAGTGCTTTGATAAACTTTTCCTTTGTGAAATCAAAACATTGTGTATTGTACATATATATGTTTGATATATTTAATGATTTGAGTCATTTTATGATCTCAAAGATACTAATATATTAGAAGTTGTACTTTCAATTGTGTCGGGCTTCTTTCAGATATACAATATGATTGATGGATACTTTGAGGATAAATCATAATCCAACTGCCATCTTAGAATAGTGATTTGCTATTAGAACTATTTTTGTTATCTGTTATAAATGTTTTAACTCTGAAGTTAAATGTAATTTTCAATTATAATTTTATTAGTTATTGTAAGATTTTTGGGAGCGGGGTAGCTCAGTGGTAGGGCACTGAGCTTCCAATGCAAAGGTCCCGAGTTCGAACCCCGGCTCATGGCAGAAAATTTATTTATCTGTTACATTGGCCGTGGGGCGACCTTGGGTCAGAAGTCCCTCCTGGGGCACACCCAGCCTCTATAAAGTGGGTACCCTTAATTAAATAATTAATTAAGGGGGAAAACCTGGCGATTGAGCGTGATCTCTGTCAAATCACCTCCTTGCACAACCGTTGACCTAGAAACAGTACTTTCCCTAAATAGTACTGAACCCCAGACCCTTCATGGGTTGTAGTGGTACAGATAGATTGTAAGATTTATTTTTTATTGAAAGCAGTGTGTCTTATGAACTTAAGTCTGAAGTATAAGATTTGAAGTTGTTTTCAGGATTCAAATATCTATTATTTTGTTAATTTTTTTTAGGCCCTGATATTTGTGGTCCTGGAACAAAGAAGGTTCATGTAATTTTCTCTTACAAAGGGAAGAATATTCTTGTAAATAAGGACATCAGGTGTAAAGATGACGTGTATACCCATGTTTACACTCTAATAGTTAAGCCTGACAATACTTACGAGGTGAATATAAAAACTTTCTTGTAGTGCGTTTTAATTCACATTCACATTAGTGTTACTTGATGTTATTTACTCATTTTTTGGGGGGTTTATATCAATCATTTATTATTAGTTTATGAGTTATCATTTGCTGATGTTTTATAAAATCTTTTCATTTTTAAAAGTTTTTTAGTTAAAGTGTTTAATTTTTATAAGGCCATTCCAAAAATATTTTCTGAATATCTAAATGTAAATTTTTAATATTTTGCTTTTCTGCTACTTTTACTATATTTGTTAATTAACTTTCTTAATTTCCCAGTGCTGTTGATTAGTCCATTATATATTTTCCTTTTTTTTCAATTGCAGCCCTATCAATTAATAGTGCAGTTATTTTAAAAATTTATTTAAATTAAATTAAATGTGAAAATAGTATTAGTTAACTAGGATTATTTATTAATATTATTAGTTGCTCTAGTTAGTGATTAATCTTCTATCCTTTTCTACAATTTCCTAGCTCTAAATAAGACTTTTTTTTTGTATTCTGTTTTGATCCTAAATTAAGATGAAGTTGCCTTGAATTTATTCTTAATTGGTCTGTTCTAGAAATATATTGACTTGATGTTTTTAGGTTTTAATTGACAATGAAAAAGTTGAAAGTGGTACTTTGGAAGATGATTTTGACTTCCTTCCACCTAAGAAGATCAAGGATCCATCAGCCAAAAAGCCTGATGACTGGGAAGATAATCCAACCATTGACGACCCTTCTGACTCCAAGGTATGTAAATCACATAGCTGATTTTTACTTCTGACCCACAATATGCTATAACAATCACTTAATTACATAGTTCCTCGATACTTCCCTCATATTCCTTGAAATTATCTGTTAAATTCATCAATATATTTAAGTTCTAACTTGTTAATTCCTTCATGGCTCAAATTGCCTCTCTGCCTTCAGGAAGAATTAATGGACTTCTTGTAATAGAATTTTCTACCAATTTAATTCTACTTTTTGCCTAATCCTTTTACCTTTTACACCACAAAGTTTGTGATCTCTGTTTTTTGGGTTCATCATTGCTTACGATATCTTTGAAGATTCAGTGTTTCTATCTTAAGTGAATTATTTATCAATTACAGTATGTACATTTATCTCTAAAAAAATGTTATATTAACAATCATCAATTAAATATGTTAAAAGAAACCTGAAATGCTTGAGAAATAAACATACAACAGTTGTCAATTGGTAATTAATTATTTTAATGTATTGTCTGTCAGAAGTAAATACTCTGAATAATTATTCTATATTAATTTTTTTAAAATTAGTAATATATATATAATAATTTATACTTACTTGATCAGCCCGAAGACTGGGACAAACCAGCGACTATCCCTGACCCTGAAGCTACTCAACCAGAAGATTGGGACACAGAAATGGACGGCGAATGGGAACCCCCACAAATTGATAACCCAGAATACAAGGGTGAATGGAAACCTAAGCAAATCGACAATCCTAAGTACAAGGTACAATTTATTCCATGTTTTATATTTTTAGTCAAATTACGATTACGGTCAATTATCTCCATACTATTGTAAATTTGTATTTACTCTGATATATTGAAGTTTTTTATTTGTGTGTGTTGTGTACTTATGATTCATGTTATACTTTCAGGGCCCTTGGGTGCACCCAGAAATTGACAATCCAGAATACAGTGCAGATGCTAACCTCTATTATAGAAAGGAACTGTGTGCGATCGGTTTTGACCTATGGCAAGTTAAGTCAGGTACCATCTTTGATGACATCCTCATCACTGATGATTTATCTCTTGCTTCTACGAAAGCAGCTGCTGTGAAAGAAACTCAGGTAAAAATAAAGTTCGAGATTACCAATTTTTTTTTCTTTGATCTAAGTGGTGGAATTTAATATTGTTAATTCTATTTTTTTATTTAACCAAAAATCTCCTAATTGCAATGTCTCTTAATGAGTTAAGTTAGACCATATTTATTGTTCCAACAATTATTTCTAGCTTTGTTATAAAATAACTTTTTAAAGCTTTGAAAAAATGTTTACGTTTTATCATTTCATGTAAGTATATTTTAAATAATGTGGCTTTTCTATTAAAAATTAAATTTCTAGGCCGGAGAAAAGAAGATGAAAGAAGTCCAAGATGCTGACGAAAAAGCTGCAACTGAAGAAGCTGCTGCAGATGCTGCTAAAACCCCAGAGGACGATGACGATGATGATGAAGATGAGGAAGAAAGCACACCAGAACCAGAAGTAATTTTCCTTTTTTATTTATAGAATTTTTTTTTTTTGTATTTATGAATTGAGAACTTATTTCATTACATAGTTATCTAAATGGTATGTACAAGTTCTTGTTGCTAATTATTAATTTTGTTTTTCAGGAACACGATGAACTATAAACATCAAAAGGAACAATCTTATTCAAAAAATCAGAAACATTATATTGAGGTGTGATATCAACTTTTTGTTGAAGCTCTTGAGCGAATAAAGGCTGCTTTTTGCTACAAACTCCTCAATCGTAACAGTAATATGATTTATCTTCTGGAAAAACTTTTTAAGACTTTAGAGGTGGTTTTTTCAAAGACTGAGTAGCATGTTTCCACAGATTCTTAAAAAAAAAAAAGGAAAAAATGAAACACCCCCGTCATGATTTAATTGTGACTTTTTTGTTTTGGTTTTTTATTTATTTTGTTTTGTTAAATCTAGATATTCCATTTCCCTCTGTTTCAAAGAGAGAAAACTAATGTGTAGTGTTTAAAATAAATTCATATTTGCAAATGTTTTATATATTGTAGAAATGTAACAATATTTTATTATACATTAGAATGTTCATAATGAGGTTGTAGAAATCGTTATTAAGTACTATTGTATGTAAATTTTGTGTTTTGTGCCAGTTTCTACAATTGTATAAAAAACAAATTAATTTTAAGATAGTGTTATTAGAATAAATTAAACACAAAATTGAACGAATAGTTATTTCATGAAGTATTCCCAGTTCTCTGCCTACAGTAATATTTTATAAATTACTTATGATAAATGTATATTATTATTTCATAAATATTTACATTTTATTTATAACAAATAAATAGCCTGAATTGAAACAATAATTACTTTTAAATTGTATCACTCATAAATCTGTAATCCTTAGAATCTTAGTAGCAAGCTGGAATTATCTGGTGGTTAATAGACTTTTTCATAATAGCTTGTAAACTGAAATTAAATATGTAAATTATAGGCAACTATTTTCTATTGGAACAGAACTTTTTAAGAAGTACTAGGATTTTTAAAAATATCACTAGATCTTGAATGGTAAGTCACCGATTTGTCTAATGATTATTTAATTTAATATGAAAACAAATCAATTTGTGATGGAGATAGAGAACTGATTATGTACGAATATATAGGAGTAGAAAAAGAAATGTTGGAAACTTGCAAATTTATTTGCTTTCTTTTCAAATTTACAATAATGATCGAGTTTCGACCACCAGGCAAACACTGGTTATTATAAGCAACAGTTGTATGAAGCCTCTATCTAATTGTCTGCTACTTTTCAAATAAAATGGATGGTAATGTCGAGTTCTGATGTTCATCCAACTCTATAGGAATTCTGCCAGCAGCCTTGGGGAAAAAATGTGTTTGTAATCAGTGTTTATTTTTAAACAAAATGGTGAATGGCAATGTTATAATCTGAGGATTACCTCATGGTGATCTATGACTCAACACTTAATAAAAAAAAATCTGGAGCGTGCAAAACAAAACTTTCACTTACCACTCAACTTTTAATTGAAATAATTTTCTGGCAATGTTGGGCAATTATAAATTTTTTAAGTCCATTTTTAACTGAGCTAAAGTTTAAAGCTAACAAATCATTAATACCATTTAAATAACAAAAATCCTATTTATTATACGGTTGATTATGAATTGTATGATGCATTGATTATGGATTATACGATTATTAGTTATTAAACTACTATTTTCCATTGCAAAGTTTGCTAAAATGGAATTATGAGATTTGCATTGCGTCTCATAGATAGGACAAAAGTTGTCACACTAATTGTAAGTGGATGCTGTTGGAATAATAAAGGAAAAATACATCAAATAATAATAATAATAATAATAAAGAGGCTTAGCGAACCCGAAGGATCAATGCCGACACCACCAATCGCTCATTACACACCTCCCTCCACCGTTCACCGTCCAAACCCAGTCCCTTCAAGTCGGCTTTAATGCAATCTTCCCACCTTCGCTTCGGTCTACCTCTCGGACGCTTACCATTCGGCACAGCAAATATTAACCTTTTAGGAATTCTCTCGTTACTAAGCCCAACAACTTTACAAGCCCATTTGATTCGCCGTGATGAAATTATATTACAATTCAATTATATTACCCGGATACAGTTCACACAATTCGGCGTTGTGTAACCGTCTGAACTCTCCAGTGAACTCATCCTTTTTCGGTCTGAATAATCTACGCAATACTTTATTTTCAAAAACATCAAGACGCTACTCATCCCTTAATGTAAGCGGCCAAGTTTCGCATCCATAAAGAAATGTAGGGCAGATAAACATCAAATTATACACTACTTTATTTAATTTTGCTAAAAGTTAACATGATGATTTTTTGGAATAAACGGAAGATAGATACCTAATTATTTAAATATAATATCAGATCTAGAGTTATTTAACTACAGTACATGCATTTAAGGTTATAAATATACCCAACGAAATTTTTTATATTTTTCTTTTTCTTCACACAAGTGCGATGAAATTTTTTTTTTAACAATAACAATAAAAATTTGTAGGTATGGATATAATGACGTGAAAATACTTGATAAGAAACCACCCAATGGTAGCACTCCAGTAATATGTCTACATTAGGAGATCATAGGGCCATCTTCTTTTCAGATGCCTCGGAGGGTTATTAGGAATTGAAGAGGAAGCAAGGTTAGAAAGGAGAGGGTTGGGATGATTCAGAAGTTAATTGTAGAAGGATAGGTATCTGGATTGGGCCAAATCTGAAACATTAAGGTCATTATGGTTGATTTTATTTGTGACAAAGTAGAGAGCATTGAGGATTTTTGATTGTAAGAATTGGATACGAGAGGAATTCGATGGTTTAGTGGAGCCCCTATAGCTCAACTCCGTAAGTCCAAATAGGCCTTATTATAGTCATTTATATGAGTCTTTTGTAATTAATTGGAACTTTAGAGCGTTTGTCTAGTAAGTGCTGAAGTAATCGGAAACGTCGAGCGGTTTCTTATTGTTTCAGTCTGGTATGAGGATTCCAAGTAAGACGTTTGTCCAAGTGGAGTCCTAGGTAACGGATTTGTTTAACAGGAATAAGTGAGATGTTGTTAAAGTATACTGAAGAACAGGAAGTCATTGGTTTCTATACTAAAGATGAAGGTAATTTGATGGGATTTATTGGAATTTATATTAATTCTCCAGTTTTGACACCATTCTTCAAAGTTTGTGATGAGTGATTGAAGGGTTTGGGATGCGATTGATGGGTCATTATTTAATGATAAGATACATGTGTTATCGGCATAAAATTTAAACAAATAAAAAATTTAATTTAAACATATAATTAAAAAAGGACCATTTAAATGATCTATTATCAAAGGATTAATGATAAAATGATGAATTAATATTTTAAGTTTTATGAAATTTGAATCAATAGGTTTTCATATCAGATCAATCATAAAATATATACAATTTTCTGAGGGTATAAATCTAAAGATGAATTTTTCATTAAACAGGTATTAATTTTATGAAATTTTTATTTCTTACCTTAAAATAAAGAGGGGAAGGCATGTTGTGTGGTTATACCAAGTGCAGCTCATCTCATACCTTTCAGTTCAGTTTAAAAAATTTACAAACTATTTAGTTACTGCACTGAATTGCTCCATTATCAACGTTTTGTATCAATTATATTAATATTCCATTGAAGTTTTCAATATACTAAAGCTCTCTGCTATTACCTTTATCATATAAATTTAATAACTATATTGTTAAATGAGGTTTATTGTAACAGATTCATTAGGAAAAGTATTTATTTTTTTTTATTAAATTAGAATATCATTACTAAGACATACTTCAAAATTATACAAACTTAACTTGTTTAGACAGATTATATTAACAATCAGGTACATATACACTTTATTACAATAAAATATTTAAAAATTGCAAATCAACATTTTACAATATATAATTTAGTTATATTTGGTTTTTATTGCACTAGCCAATACCATAAATAAATAGACCATTTGTATTATTTACAAAATTAAAGAATCAGTTATCAATTACACAATGCTTGGAATTGTAAATGACAAATAATTCTTTGAAAAATATTTACTCTAATAGTGGCACATAATTTAATGTACAAATTTACAATACTAATTACAGTTGATTGGAGTTAAGAAACAACTACATGTTTGACAAATCTGTACCTCAGAGGTCAATTAGTTTTACTGTCAGAAAAATGTTCAATTCATCTATTTGTTTTGTTCAATAATGTAACTAAGAAGCAATTTTGTTTTATTATTGTTTTGACTTGAATTCTTAATACTGCAGAATACTACATTTACTTTCCAATCACAATAAAAACTTTGAAAAAAGTGAATATAATAGTTGATTTCTGAGAAACACTGACAACAATAAATACAAAATAATTACCAACTATTAAATAGAAAAAATAATAATGCTTCAACTTAAAACTTGTTTGGTTAATATAACGGTTTGTGAAGAGGGCTACCATTTCATTGAACACTTTTAGGTTAATGGTGAACTTAACAGTTCAATTGCATGTAGAGTTTTAGAGAAAAATCTTAATAGGAGTAAAAAACATATATAAAAAAAATTATTTCAGTATAGCAAACATTCATGATACTCAGCTTTGAAATTGATTATATTAGTTAAATAAATTCAATCAGGGCAGGAATAATAGATAATTTCTTTTTCTAATATCATTCGGAAAAATGTGTTTCACAAGAGCTATAAACAAAAATTATTTTAACATTTGATTAGAAATAATAGTTATTTTAGAGAGAAATGTTTAAATGGAAGCTAAAATTTATATTTAATGATTAACATTGACCAATCACATAAATATATGTTTCAAAAAATCAACTATTAATAAATAAAGATGTTTTTAAAAAATATATTAACCATCATTGAAGTTTAATAAACTGAGGAAAAATCTTTTTAGTAAAGTCTTACCATCTCAGTCTGGTACAAAAAAAATTATTTAGATTACTAGATTGTTACTATCATTTATTTACATATTAATCATTACTTAATGATAATCTAAATCAATTTGGGAGATAAAAATTTTAACATATTAATTTAAATACAGTGATATAGTATCAAGAAGAAATAGTAATAAAGATAATATTAAACCCAAGGATTTTGCTAAGATTAATAATTCTATACAGGGAAGGCAACAAATTCAGTATCATAAACACCAAATACTGTCATCATAGTTTGTTGAAATTTATCAGTAACCTACTAAGATAAATCAACAAAATATCCCTTCAATTAAATTGTTGCTAAATTATTCTCTGACTATTATTAAAACAAAAGTCTTTGGTGAATATAGTTCTAATGAAAATTCAAAATTTACTAATTTATATAGAACAATCACATCAAAAGAAAAATGTTAATTGAAACAAACTATTTTTGGAAATAAAATAAATTATCTAGTTTTCCTTAAATATAGTTCATTTACTACATCTTTTTCTTCCTAAGCAAGTGGCAATAAAAAAGGTAACAATACATGCTATGAAGGCACCGATTAACCAGCTAAATGTAGAGATGGTTTGTTGTGGTAAATTGAGTCCATGGTTTGACAAGATGACGGTACCATTAGGAACAGGACATGGAAGCTGAACAATGATATCCTGCTTTTGGATCTGTTAAAAAAATAAAACTATAAGAATAACCATAAGAAAATAAAAAACAGAAAAATAGTATGTAATTTAATGTTAAAATTGAAATTGTTTTGGCTTAAGTTATCTTTGTACTCTAACAAGGAAATGAAAAACCAGTTATCCTACAGGTTACCAACTTATTCTACCAAAATGAAAAGGTTGTGATTCATTCC